CCGCCGCTCAGGACTCACTTGGGTAAGCTTACACTTCTTCCTTTCCCGGCGGTGTAAGGCAATCCCACCTTCGTCGCCAATGTTGAGTCCTTGGCGCAAAGCAGACACGAGAAGCAGTTGGAGTTCTCAGTTTTCTTTATTCTGCGTTCAGCTTACAAGTAGATGGCTTTCCTTAACTTCCCAAACGCTCGCAGCCTCTTATATAGGCAACTCCCAGGTAAATGTGTTACTTTTCCCGCGCCAGCACCCGCGCATGCGCACAGCGCTGGCGACAGCCTGTCTGGTCCCGGGCAGCCTTGCACCTGCCCGGGACTGCCTGCAAACGCCCGAGCCGTTTGCAAGGCTCGGGACATAACATATACCATTTCAGACAAGTGACTGTCTAGCCTCTTAAAAACCTCTAGTGATGGAGTGCCCACTATTTCTGAAGGCAAGCTGTTCCACTGGTTAATTGTCCTCACTGTCAGGAACTTTCTCCTTAATTCCAGGTTGCTTCTCTCTTTGATTAGTTTCCAACCATTATTTCTTGTCCTGGCCTTTGGTGCTTTGGAAAATAATTTGACCCCCTCTTCTTTGTGGCAGCTCCTCAAATACTGGAATACTGCTATCATGTCACCCTTATTTTGTCTGTTCTTTAGACTAACCAAACCCAAGCCTTCTTCATATGTTTTAGTCTCCAGGCCTTTGATCATCTTAGTTGCTCTTCTCTGAACTCATATTAAGCTCTACATGGCACAATGCCTGAATCTTTGCAGGATCCATATCTCTAATTATAATTGTCCACCTGATAAGACTGAACAAAGCACTATCTATTAATAGCCTTGTGGGATCTAGGAAATATGTCTTTGTGTTAGCACCAGCTTTCTAGCACAAATTTCCCCCAAGATCTGTACCAAGCTTACCGTTATTTAAAGGAGTTCTTTCTTCAGAACTCAAATCAGGGCATGAGATGAACCTACTATTTAATCTGTGTGGATTGTTGTTAATGACTGTAGTTTTTCCCCTGAGTATGACTACACCTGTTGTTTTAAATTGCTAAGTGTGTGTGTGTGTGCGTATAAGTAAGGTACTTCCAGGAAAGCATTTGCTACTACAGAAAAAAAAACTTATTAATTTATCTTATTTAGATATTAATCCAATATTCTTTCTTTGGGTTTTGTAGTTGTATATAATTGTTTTTCATTTAATATTGTCCTGCACATTCTAAGCAAAGGTGGGGAGGATTAGTGATAAAAGTTCCTGTGGACTTTTAAACTCATCAATTTTCTTTTTTTCTAAATTAGGGCAATCCTATAAAAAAATAAAGTTTGGATAATGGCGTGGGGAAAATAAGATGCTGTAGATACTTTTTGGAGATCCACTATGTTGTTTAGTGTAACCTCAGATTTAAAGGACTGAAAACATAATTTTCTCCGTAGATACAATGCTCAGTTAATGTTTGATGAAAAAAAGTACACAAATGTGTTTAATAACTAAGCCAATGGGCTTTTACTAAATAACCACCAACTGCAAAAATCCATTCCATCTGTAAAACTGTTACTTTGTTCAAGAGCCCATTATTCTTAAATGTTCCTTGAATTATAAAAGAATTATCTATAGTGCCACTAATTAATGTTACTGAGAAAATAAAACTAAAATTATCTGCAAACTCATTTGTGAACCAAATTGGAAATCATTCTATCACATTATGGCTATAACTCAGCCAAAGCAATCCCACTAAAAACAGAAACTCATATAAAACATCAAACCCCTCATTGTCCTAATAAATATCAAACATTTTAATAAAGATCAAGTCGCTACAGGTAGAAGGCAGGCAGTTTAAATTTATTTAAAACAAAAGGGCTTGAAACTTGTTAGTGCTAGGACAGAAACAGAAGAGGCAGCATCTGATAGTTGGCAAGTAATCCATATACTTTTGACAGAGTCCCAAAACAAGGAAATTCCCTTTTCTCTCTCAGCTGTTTGCCCAGATAGTTTTGTACTCAATCTGTATTGGAAACCTTAAGTACCAAGCAAAATCTTTCAACACTTGTTTGGCGAGACAAAGAAAAAGGGCAGAGGTAAATGATTTATTTACTGTATATTTGTATCCCACCTTTTTATTTTTACAAATAAGGTGGCTAATATCCAACACACCTTCCTGCTCTTCTTTTCTCCACAACAACAAAGAGTACAGAGAAGAGCAACAAAGATGATTAGGGGACTGGAGGCTAAAACATATAAGGAATGGTTGCTGGAATTGGGTATGTCTAGTTTGATGAAGAGAAGGACAAGGGGGGACATGATAGCAGTCTTCCAATATCTCAGGGGTTGCCACAAAGAAGAGGAAGTTAAGCTATTCTCCAAAGCACCTGAAGGCAGGACAAGAAGCAACAGATGGAAACTAATCAAGGAGAGAAGCAACCTAGAACTAAGGAGAAACTTCCTGACAATTAGAACAATAAACCAGTGGAACAACCTGCCTCCAGAAGTGGTGAATGCTCCAACACTGGAAGTTTTTAAGAAGAGACTGGACAGCCATTTGTCTGAAATGGTATAGGGTTTGGAAGGTCCCTTCCAACTTTATTATTACTATTACTATTATTATTACTATTATTATTACTATTATTATTATTACTACTACTACTACTACTACTACTACTACTATTATATCATCATCATCATCATCAACTCTGTGAAGTGAGTTGGGCTGAGAGAGAGTGACTGGGGCCCAAAGTCACCCAGCAGGCTTTCATGGTGAAAGTAGGACTAGAATTCACACTCTCCCTTTTCACATTAGCTCATTGTATCTCGGGTAGGTGCCAAAACCAGAGAACTCTGGAAGGACCCTTGGATAATAACAGCCTTAAAGAGAGGCTGAACTCTAACCCAGAGCTCCAACTAATAGCATGCATGCAAAGCAGTGTTATTTTGTGAAACTGTGGGAAATTAAAATGGTGGTCCTCAGTGACCTTGAATGCTTTGAATGCCATTGCCAGATCAACCATATTTTTTTAAAAGGCCTACAGAGGGGGCCATTGCAAAAGGAATTTGCTTGGAGGGAGGGTGATAGACAAAGTCACACATGGGAGATCTTGTCACAACTTGATGCTGGTATGAAATGACAGCCTGAGCAGGATACAATTGTATGCGAATTGCCATGTTATTGTTTCAGTTTGTTAGGGAAATTGCTGCCACTTCTTGAAAAGGTATTATACTTTGTGATTCTTCAAAACTGAAGACTTTCCTTAGAGTGAGAAGGAGGGGAAGTAAAAGTGAATGGCTATTTAAATATGTGAAACGAGAACTGTATAATCTGATTTTTATGAAGCTAGTGAAAGGAAACAGCAGGAACACATGGAGATGGGAACATAGCTAGCGGAGAGAGGATTTAACCATGCATAGGTGAATTATTTCTTTTTGAACTGTACCTTAATTGTTTGCAAGGAATTATGTAGCACCTGATATTTTTCTAAACACATATATTTATCTTCCATAATTTTTACAGTGAAATATATTCATAAGGCTATTACTAGTGTTAAAACTAGCTACGCACTATGTATCCTTCCCCAAGACTAATGTCATGCTTCCAATAATGCCTTGTGGTGTTTGTAATACCTGACAGTATTTCTTTTTCCACACCTCTGGGTCTTGCAGTTGAAATCAGATGGTTAAAAAAAAATAGAAGATTTGTGGATTGGCAGATGGAGCTATATATGGATCAGAGAATCACATATTGCAGAGATTTCTGATTAGGTGTTAGAAAGGGGGCATCTTCATTAAATGGGCCATAGTTGAGCAAAGAGGTGGGAGGGACTTTTTAATGGGAAATTATGGTTGGATGAAGTTGGTGAACTCAAAAAAAGATAGGTGAGAAATTTAATATCAAGCTCTTTTAAGGTGGGCACATTTGGGAAACCAGAACGATTGGATTCCTGAAAAGATTTCCATTGTTATGAGGATAATTGTAATAGGTTCTTGAAAGAGAAATTCCATGGTTCAATTTATACCTAGCATCATTTAACAGAGTTACTCTGAATCTTGTTTCTCCCCCTTCTCCAGACTAAGGGAATCTTAGTCCTGTAAAGCTCTTGCTTCCTCCTCCATGAATCTGTTATCTGTCATATTTAAATACAAAATTTGGTGCACTGAGCTATATGTTTGCAGTAGGAGCAGGATGAGCTGCAAGAATTGAAAAGCCTGGAGAATACCCCCTTTGCTATTATACACCTGGTTAATTAATGAGATCGCCAGGAGAAATCGCAGATTTCTTGTGGTTAATCTAGCCATCCTCCACATATCTAAATGTTTGTTTCTGTTGAGATGAAAAGTGCTTTCTATATTTATATTATGCAGAGTTCTTGTTTACTCATGGTAAGTGGGTTGCTGGCAGATGTACATTCAATATCCTGGGAATGCATCAGAATTCAGTCTAATAAGTACAATCCCTCCTTTTCACTCAAGGTGTGTCCGGGCATGTGTGTGATGTGTTGAACTTATTGTTACAGCTGTGCATTCTGGAGATAATTGTTTTGATAGGCTCTTTGTTCATAGAAACAGTGGGAAAGCCCTGTGGCCCTTCCCTTATGGTGATCACTTGAGAAAAACAATGCATCAGTGTTTGCAAATGTTCTAATTTACTCTTCCCTTTGAAGAGTGATCATATAGATAATGTTTCAGTCTTGGAGTGTTTGAAAAAAGGAAATTAGTATAAGTCAAGTTGCCTCTTTTCTGGCAGTGCTATTAAAGACCAGAATGCTAGCTTCTACTTGACCCCACAGTGTCTTGCATTATATATTTTATTATTTGGTTTGATACATAAAAGAAATCCATTATATAATAAGGTCAGGTTACACTTGTCAATATCTTCAGGCCCCTTCAGGAAGTAGCAGAGAATGTCTGTCTGGGCACATATAACTACCATCACTGAGAAGATGCTTTGATTTTGGAAACTTTTTCAGGTATTCTCACCTATTTTTGTCTATTTGCTTTAACAGTGTGTTATTGTTTCCTTTGATCAGGAGAGACCCCAAAGCGAACATTCACTGACACACAGGAGAAGAGATCTGAGCAGCATGACTGATTCATTTTACATTAGTAGGTAACTTTCTTCTCTTTTTCTGCTGTTAATTTCATAAATGATCAAGCATAAAGCATTCGGAAATTTTCAGGTTGGTTTGAAGTAGATGTGACCAGTAATAGCTAACATGCTCTGAGGTAGACTTGTGACATAATCCCAGAGACTCTTCCTGTAATTTTTAAAAAATCCCCTTTTCTCCGAATGTCCTTGTCAATGCTGCTAACATTGGATGTTTTTGCTTTGACAACAGTTGGAGATGCAACCATTTTCTTCTTACGTTTTATTTTTAGAGTTAGAGCTAGAGTTAGATAATGTAGGGGGGGGGAGGAATGTGCATGCGAGTTCAGCTAGACATAACAATACTGGGCCTAGTGCGTGAACCAGGGTTATTGAAATAAGAGATGATAAGAATTGGCGGGCTGGAGGACTGGAGGGAAAGCCTGCATTTCAAACTAATTGGAGAATATGTTTTATGACTGTTAATTGGAGGAGGGAATTGTGTTTTGATACTATGTGCTCAGGGGAGGGGAATCCAGTTTTTGGCTTCGATTATGTTAGTGCCAATGCTATGCTCCTCTAATAAAGATTCTTAAGGTAAACAATGCCTCAAAGTTCTTTGAAGAGTTTCATCTGTCAGAACCATGACAGTCCTCACATCCTAAAATATGGCAAGTGGAATAAGACTGTATTCTAGATCTTTCTAACTTTCTTCAATCCTTTTTTCTATGTGGCACTTTTAAATAACTTGAGCAGCAGCTTTAATTGAATCTATTATTGTGATGTCACAAGCATCTGTGGCAAATTAACATTATATCAAAACAATGACATGTGCAATGATGTGAAGCAAATATGTAATTAGCAGTTTTGTTTCTTACCTTCCTCCCTACCCCAGAGCACTTTTATGAAATCTTTCTATTATGCTGATTGTGTTTTTACCATATGTTTTCTTGGGAGCTTTCACAGAAGAATAACTCATACATTTTTAAAATAATTAGAATGTTTAAAATATGGCAATCACCATGCCTATATATAATGTAAGAACATTAAGAAGAAAGGTGAGATACATGCAATCTCTGGTTTGATTTCATTCCTTTGGAATGAAGTTTGGATCAACAATAGTGATGTCTCTGGACATGGAATTCCACCCCCCAAAAAAAACAAAATCTGAAACTTTTGCCTATTTCTGAAATTAATATTAACATGTATTGATGGGAATGTTGAAATAGTGCAAAACAAACATCTACAGTAGTTTTAATTTATTTTGGAACGTGGTGGTAATCAAGTTACCTATTTCATTTTATAAATCTAAATGGAAATTCCTTCTCTAAGTTAAAGGCTATTTGCAATTTAATATTATTTGAGTAACTTTGTTGTATAATATGGCAATGCAGAGAAAGAAATAGACTGAATGAGTGAGTTGTGGGTTTAAAAGTGTGAATTTCACTCTCAAGCCTGATTCATAGATTATTACATTTTTTCTGTTTTTGAAAAAAAAGGGGGGGTTGGTTTTTTTGGGTTTTTTTGGCTAAGGATGGATGCCATTAATTTTGTTGTAAATTTATTAGATAGAAAGATGCATTGTGTTTGATATTTTTTTTATTTTTCTTAAGAAATTATCTATGTTGCCTGCATGATTTTTTGGTTATTTAAAATATTTTTCATGGCAAGCTGAGTTTCTGTATAGAAGAAAAGCAGAACTCAGGTCTAAAAAACAAATAAGCTAAAATCCACAGACAGAGTAAATAAGTCTACCAATTTCTTTACCGTAATTCCAAACCACTCGCCTAGTTATTGTTAATGCCTCAAAGCACTTAATCTCTCTTCTGTTTCAAAATGAACACAAGCTTCTGCCACGTCTAGTGCTCAGCTCCGTGTGTGCCTACTTCCCTTTCCATTTTTCATATACTTGTTCTGATATAGCGCAGAGAATTAGACATGATTCAACTGAAGGGAAAAAAATATATAAGTATCTCCATTGAGTTTCTTTCAGAAAATTTACATTCTTGAAGGTTTCTGGAGTTTAATCAAAATGCCACTTCCAGTTGAAATATAGAAGTGTTTTGGAAAGTTGTCTTCTAGAACTACCCGGGGAGAGAAGGAAGAAGAAGAGAAGAAAATAGTTACAATTCAGAGCTAAGAGGCGGTAGCATATAATGTATTTCTGGTTGTAAGAGCCTGTGAATAATATTCATACATAGTTGGTATTCCTTAACGGATACAGAGGATTCATGGAACTGTCAATGGTATTGGCAGAAAGAAAATTCATTCATGTATGGATTAAACCTTCATTTGTATCTCTCTGGATGTCGATTATTGTGCGGAAAGGTTAAAAGTTGTAATATATTCCAGAAAAGTGGATATAACTGAAAGTTTGGCATGCAAGGTATTAAGTAAACGAAAAAGGTTACATGTTCTATATATCTTATATATAGATGATCATATGCATACAAGACTAAATTGTGGCTATTTGTAGAATTAAATGATTCAGAAATCTTGCATCAGATAATTTAACTACTGATAGTCTTCATTTAATAAATGGTTGCTTGAACTTATGATAGACCTCCTCTCCCCCTCCTCAAAAAAATGTTACGTAATCTGGTTCCAAAGTTCTTATGACATAACTGCATTTCTGGGCATTTGGCAACTTTTATGGTCAGTCGCATTGTTCCACAATCATGTGACCTTGATTTATGATGTTTTGTGCTGGTTTTCAGTCTTTTTGGCTGATTTCTAGCAAAAAAAATACTCCCATAGAAATGAATGGATTCACTTTATGATCATGGGATTTGCTTTACAACCACAGTGTTCACTTTATGATCATCACACACACAAAGAGTCATAAAATCAGGTCAGTCGTATGTGTGTTTCGACTTACAACCATCAGAGGTGAAGTAAAATATGACTTACTGTGGAAATTCAGGACTTCATTATGTCATAAGTTGAGGACTACATGTATCCAACTAAATATCTTACCCACAAGAATGAATATTGGAATATTGATTCAGATATAGAACTGTTGTATATCAGGGCTGTTTTCTCACATTATAACAAACCTACTCAACTTTAATTGCACTCATTGATCAAAATACGGAGAACTTGTCATATAGTTGACTGCACCATAATGTGGAAAAGAATCCACTCCAGCAGCATAAGTGGCCTTAGTAAGAAATCTTGCTTCATCTTTGATTTTACTCACAGCAAGCATCTTTGTTCAGCTTGAAATTTAATTTTAACCAGACATTACCCATCTATTTATTTTAAGAAAGAGTAGCAAAATTGAATCAAGACTTCACTTTAGGCCAAATAGAAGGACAATTCTGTGTCAAATGTACACATTAATAATTCAGGTTCTCCACATTTTTGTTGCTGTAGTTAACTTAGTAGAAGTCTTTAAACAATTCTGGATGAAGCCAGAATCAGAATAAGTAAGGAAATTTCAAGTAAGGCTTTTATTTATCTAAGCCAAAATAAATCAAAAAAGTTGAGATGGTGGTTGCACAGTTATAGACTCATTCCTTCTGTATGTATGGATAGCATACAGCTATGAACAACGTATGGATTTTTTTCAAACACGTACACACACAAACATAGGGCATCATTTAAGGCAAGTCAAAGGGCTGCTATTGCTGTAACTCAATAATCTTTATAAAGCTCCAGTCTTTATTTGTTAGTTTGGTTGTGGTCATAACTTATATACCAAAGAATTGGGGGGAATTAGAAATAAAAATGTTTACTAGTATAAAATGATGGAAGTGATTCATAGTTTACTTTGATTTATTTTGCTTTTTTGTCTCTCTCTGTGCCAGTTCTATGGCATGTTTCAAGGGCTATTTTATCTGGAAAAAAAAGACTTAATCTGTTATATCTCTGTCCACTCTCAAGCTCAATCAGGCAGCTTCATATTCAGAAAAGTGCATTATTTTTTATTGACATACTTCGCTTTCTTCAAAATTCCTTAATCGCTCTCTGAAATTTGCCACATACGCCTACATTAGGAGCTCCAAACTTTATCACATTCTATTCTAACACAAAAAAAAAATAAAAGTCACATGTACCTTTAAAAAAAGAGATTTAAAGGAAGAGCTTGAAAAGCCTATGAAATCTGTGAAATCTGACAGGTTTGATTCTGTCATAAGTTAGGATAGGTATAGATCACTTTGGAGTCAGTGCTGAAAAACGATGCAAGCGCTACATTCTAGGAGATTCTCAAATGAAAGAGAAAGGGGCGTTGTCTTACCTGAATGCCTTTTCTCAGCATGATGATGGAGAATCCACGGATGGGTTGTCTTAATCTATCTGCTCCAATTAGACTAAGTCTGAAATTTAGTACCGCCCCCTCTGTGCCAACTGCACCCCAGTTTTAGGCTAAGGCGATACTCAGACTTTAGTCCGACGTGTCTGAACAATATGGGAACCAGGCCAACTGACCTAATGGGAGGGAGTGGATTCTCCATCATCATGCTGAGAAAAGGCGTTCAGGTAAGACAACGCCCATTTCTCCAGCATGATTGGATGGAGAATCCAGGGATGGGACATACCAAAGCCCTGTGTCCCTAGGGTGGGGAATTAGATTGGGCCTGGGTCCCATCCAACGTTAATGCGTGTTCTAGAACCTTGCGGCCAAATGAAGCCGTAGAAGATGCATATACATCCCTCTTGTAGTGATAGACAAAGGAAGAGGGCGATGCCCATGTTGCTGTTCTACAAATTCCCTCTACGGAGGCCTGAGTAGACCAGGCAGCTGTAGTATGGCCCGGTTGAATGGGCCGTGATATGCCTGGGATCTCGCAGTGACTGAGACTGGTATGCCAGAGAAATACAAACTCTAATCCACCTGCGTATTGTGGTTGAAGAAACCTTCTGACCTAGTGATGAAGGGTGATAGGACACAAACAGAGCCTCTGTTCTGTGGAAAGATGAGGTTCTCTGTATATAACAATATAAGCCCTGCGCACATCCAATTTGTTCCACTGAACCTCTATGTCATTAGATGGGTTAGGACAGAAGTCCGGCAAAA